GAAGCCATTTTTTACAATTTTCGTCATGTTTCCCTACTTGCGGTTTAAAAAACGATCTACAGTACATAGATCCAGATTTTGTTGATAAAAATCTTTTATTTTCTAACTTCATATCCAAATAACAGTTTATACCCCTTTGTTTAATTCAAATTATATTATTTCAAGCAATTTTGTAACCCTTTATTGCTCCAGGCTAGTTACCTAGTCAGCTGTGTTCGTTCAAGCGAGACGTGATTTGCTATATGTAGGTTTCAGTTTTCACACCTCTGCTGCATTAAATAAACATAGGGACTTATCTGTGTACATTGAATAAACAAAGGAACTAAACAGGAATACTCAAATTTTGTACATGGTACATCAAAAAAATTCATTTTTGCCACTAATGAATTTCTTTTCGCCACTTTTGAAAAAAAAAATCGCAATCGGCGACAATGGCGAATCATAGCTCGAGCCTTCAGCAGAAGACCTTTCTGCTATTTTTAGGTTTCTTTTTCACTTTGATTATTTTTTTTTCTTGCCGATTTTGTGCACGCGATTTCTCGAAAGCGGTTTGATGAATTTTCATGAAACTTTCGTTTTTTCTTCTTGGTGACGTCACTTCCAATCTGAGATATTGCCAATTTTATGGATTTTAAAGGGTCGGTCTGTCCAAAGTTTTTTTTTTAAAAGGTTGATCGAGATACATGTAGAACCATGAAACTTTTCAGTATGATAGACCAATGTCTGTAGATATGCCTTTCGCATTTCGCCTTTTCTCGAATCTCCGCACGTCGGTGCTCGCTATGGCTCGCAAAACGTCTTTTTGGAGATTTAGAAATTTTTCAAACCTTTTCAGCAAATATCATTTTACATGTTAGCATTTTGTAAAGACATATAGAAGAAAAGTTGTCGAGATTGTCACGATCTTTCATAAATTATCAACGATAAGGGCTGGCCCCCGTAATTATTGGCCGAGAGGGGCTGAAAGTTTTCCCTTAATATCTCAAAAAGTATTGAGAACTTGTAATACGTCAAAAAAGAACAGTTGTTCAAAATGTCAAGCTTTAGCTACTGAAGTCGCCAAAATGCGTCTGGTAACGTCACTTCCGATTCAACTGGAAGTCGCTATGAAATGCATATGTTAGCCTTTCTTGACAGGTTTTAAGGTAACATCTGTGGTTGTTTATTTTGTCCAAATGTTAACACTTGAAACCGAAAGCACAATGCAAATTGCGGATTTTATAGAGGTCTTGTCTTTATAAATATCATGCTTTCAATAACAGCATTTCAGACACCATTCACGTCCAACTTGCCCTTCATTGATAGACATGCACATATAATTTATACATGTGTATAATGATGGTTTTCACTAAAAGTAAAGCATTAAACAGGTGCACTTTTTTAAAAATATGCAAATTTTTTCATATATTCTTTCTCAAAAATACATTTTTAAAAATATTTGTTTTCATGTTTTATTTTCTATCTGTTTATCAATGATATATTTATACACTGTAAAAGTTTTTATTTTATACCTCTAATAGCTTTTGTAAAAATAAATTTTTGGAAATGCTGACCTTTGATTTAGTTGTTATCTCACCTGGTCAAATTCCTGATTTGCACAAATTTGTTCTATGCATGAAATTCAAAATGGGAACAAATCATTTGAATTTCAGGCATAGACAAAAATGTGTTTAAAATGGGAATATGATAACTGTACTTTATTAATATAGCCTAGCTGTACTATAATTGCAGATAGGGGTGAGAATTGGACAAAAAATGCTGTATGAATGTCTTTTTGTATATCCTAATGGTTTTGTTTTTGTAATTAAAGTTGAAAAAATATATGTTCACGTATGCATATGTATTCTAAAAAAGTAGAGCCCAAAACTGAAAAGTGTGTTTTGTTAATTTGTATGCATGGTATCAACAAACTTCAAATTGAGATAGCCGTCTTTGTCATAAAAACCATCATATTAATGCACGAACAATACCGTATGCAGTTAATTCATACATGTATAATGTATGCCCTCGTGTTTATTTTCTATTTACAAACGTTCACTGTATACACACACAAAAAAAGAATAAAAGAAAGATATCGTTAAATCAGAATATTAAGATTTAATCGTGATAAAAAAAAGTTGGAATAATGGACTTCAAGCTAAAAATCATGTTCCATTGACTCTCGTGATGAATCGTTTTCTCGGAAAAACTAGCAAAATTAATGACCAACAAAAATAGTAAAGACAAATAATTTTTAAATTCTCCGCATTAAAAGAATAGCGCAAAAAGGAAACAGAAGAGTTAGCTATAACTTTTTTCAGTTCAAAATTTATTCTTCTTTTACGCCGTATTGGGAATAAAACGCTTAAAATCGCATAACGACAAATTGACGTCATAACGGCATTGCGTTATTTTCTTACGAAAACTACCTTTATTTAAAGAGCTCTCTCGGAGAAATGGTTTGAGAAAATGACAAAAATTAAAATGACGTAGGAAGTGTTCACCCTAAACATGTTTCAAGATCATTTTAATTAGAATTTGGGACTGGTCGGATTTTTGTTCATACCGTACTTTCTTTAGACAATCTGAAATCTACACTACCCCAGGATGCTTCTACATAAGGTTCAGCTTTTCTGGCCCGTGGTTCTTAAGAAAAAGATTTTCAAAGATTTTTTCTATATATTTCTATGTGAAATTTTGATTCCCCATTTTGGCCCCGTCTTACCCCCGGGGGTCGTGATTTGAAGAATTTAGAATCTACATTTCTCAAGAATGCTTTCATATAAATTTCAGCTTTTCTGGCCCAGTGGTTCCTGAGTAGCAGATTTTAAAGATTTTTCCTATTCATTTCTATGTAAAACTTTGATTCCCATTCATGGCCGTGTCCTACCCCCCAGGGTCATGATTTGAACAATTTAAAATCTACACTACCCCAGGATGCTTTCAGAAAAGTTTAAGCTTTTCTGGCCCAGTGCTCCTTGAGAAGAAGATTTAAAAAAAAAAATTCCTATATATTTCTATATTAAACTTTGATTCCCCATTGTGGCCCTGCCCAATCCCTGAGGGTCATGATTTTAAGAGGCCGTGTCAGTAACCATTGAGTATTGTATATAAAGTGAGTGGAATGTGAAAAAAAATTTTCTTTAATATTTGGTTGCATGGAAGTATTTATGAATGTCCTTTCAAACATAAATTATTTGGGTCACATCTTCCTTGACGTTGTTACCATAGCAACAGTGATTTTAATGCTTGAAAAGTGATAAATTTGATTATTTATAACCCTGTCAAAATTAATAATAGAATCAAACTATGTTTTTCTTAATTTCAATGTATATGGGAGATTTAATTTTTCCCATGTTTATTTTAAAGCATTGGGGCCTAATTTGCTTTGTTTCAACCAAATGCTGTATAATCAACATGATTTTTATAAATACTTAACACGAAAACGCAACCAAACTCTATCATAATCATACATGCAATAGAAACTACGAGCTTTAAAGTTATAAATCCAATAATAAAAAATGGTAGTTGGGTACTCTATAGCAAATAATTTGATTAAGAATGTACCACAAATATGAAAACGCATGAACGATTATCTCCCTTTTGTGGAACTCTCCTGCTGATAAAGAACAGAAAGTTGCTGTTGCAGCAGAAGTCAGAGAAGAAAAACACCATGTAAAGATGTATAAAGCAGGTCTTGTGTGGTTACAGAGGACATGACATCATCAAGAGTTTGTAGGTGACTGAAAAGTACTATTTATAGTTTATAGTCCCAAATATCTGACGTTTTCCTGTTTTTTTTTTTAACTATTTAAATATTTTACGTGCGAGGAAAACTCCATAACCGGCGAACCTTTACGAAAACTGGGAATTCCAAGTAGAGGCATTCTCGAGTGTATTTTCGGTACTTGCAATTACCTGTCAAACACAAAATTTATCAATGGTACTGTTACCGGGTTCACAAAGTAACAAAAATTTTTGATGTTTCCGTCTTTTATGTAGCAATAACAAATGTCTGAAATAAATACGACACATAATATCACACATGCAGTAAAATACACAAAGAGAGATAACTCTTTCTCCATTTTAATAAAATATAATCTATAATTATTTCTTCCATAAATATTACTTTTGGCTTTACGATGAAATTGATATTAGTCCGATAAAACAATAATAATCTGTATATGATTTACTTTCTTTGTATATCATAATTATTATAAACTTTAGTGAATAAAATAATACAGCAGTAATTTAATCATAAATCACTACTATTAATGAAATAGAAATGCTTCACGTTACGATTCACATAACAATGGAATGTTCATGTAAACACAAAATATATAGACACGCTTTTTCATGATACAAAAATATATACATTACGTATCTTACCCAATATATGGTATCAAACACTAGTCAATCATCAATGTAACATCAATCAGGTTACAGCTACCTACATCTATCAAGTGGATCTAAACAATAATAAACATATTATATACTGTTTGCTAATAAACGCATCTAAAATAATTCTGACATAAGCTTTCACTATATCATCAAATAAATGACTATGTTATTAATATTAAAAGAAACTGACCTTCCATGGATAAATAAAGTCCAAGGTTAACAATCACAAAATTCTGTGTCTAGATCAAAATGAACTAGACTCTATTTGAAAAGATACACTTTTACTCATATCAATAGAAATCACATGACTTATACTTTTAACCAACCAAAACAAGAATTCACTGATCCATGAAAAACTGACCGGAAATAATATGGAAACCCCTTTTTGATACAATATTAAAATAGAAGAATAAATAAATGGAAAAATATAATTGACATTTAATTAATGTTTTTATAATGTGTTTAAAATAAATCCACTAACACGTTACTACATACTCCCCCTCGTTCAACAAATGACTTCCACGTCATTTCCGTCACTATCCTAATTAATCAAAGTATATCACTATGATTTTCTGGATTACATTCTGAAACAATGTTCCTAATTTGTCATTGAACATAAATTATGATTTTAAAATAATTTGTAAAATTGCATCTGTAGAATTTGGTGTCTCTTTAATCACACCATTCTGAACCAATTGTATAACATAGTCAGCTTTTTCTTTCCACACTCGATCTCTTGATATAGAAGATTTCGATACAACTTCACCCGTATTCATGCACTTTGGCTTTCCTTTCTTTCTGATTGAACGCCTAGGGACTACTTCATCTTCTTCAACTTCTTCCTGGTCCTCAAATTCAGTATCAGCTTTAACTGCAAAATCAATTTCCTCAGCCTCAGCTTCAACTTCAGTGTCAGCTGTGACTGCAGAATCAAGTTCCTCAGCCTCAGCCCCAACTTCTGAATCGATATCTTCTTCATTAGCCTGGGTTCCATGTAACTCATCATCCTGAATATTCTCTTCATCAACATCTGCAACACTGTCTTTATCTACAGCAGTATCTTCAATACTATCATCAACAGTATCTCCTATATTCTCTTCAACACCGGTGTTTTCTGTTTCCTTTGTTCCATCAATATCCGTCTCTGAAGTGCTTCCTTCTACTTCCGTTACAACATTTTCAGTAGAAAACTGAACATCTTGGTCATGACTGGGTGGAGTCAGACTATCCTCAGTAACTACAACTACTTTTTCTGCATCCTCCTCTTCTGATGATGAGTTTTCATGAATTATAGTTTTAGGTTTTGTTCTTGGCTTTGGAATTGGTCTTGTTTTCCTTTCAGTATGTGTTGAAATCTTTGTGGAATCTACATTATTCTCCGATATAAACCTAATAGGAAATAAAACATTCCTATGTAATGTTCTTTCCTTGCCTTGACCATTCAGCTTCTTCACTGTATAAACATGAATCCCTGGATTAGGTTGTTTTATCACTACATATATATCATCTTGCCATTTATTGGCCAGTTTATGCTTGCCATCTAAGGCTACAATTTTGACAAGTACTTTATCACCAGGTTGTACTACTGTGCCTCTGGATCTTAAGTCATATCTGTCTTTTTGTTTCTTCTGAGCTCTTTTTATCTGTTCTGCCGCCACTCTATATGCTTCCAGTAGTCTTTCTCTTAATTCTTGAATATACTTGGTCTGTGGTTCTTTCTTGTCTTCTCTAGTTAGACCAAATGCTATATCCACCGGCAAATTCGGCTCTCGACCAAACATGAGGAAATAAGGTGACTGGCCTGTCGACTCATGTTTAGTACAGTTATATGCATGTACCATAGTTGCAACATGTGACTTCCAGTTCTGTTTCTTGTTTGCATCTAAAGTTCCAAGCATATTTCATAGAGTGCGATTGAATCGTTCTGTCATGCCATTGCCAATAGGATGATAGGGAGTGGTTCTGGATTAACCAATTCCTGTTAAAATACACAATTCTTTAATCAAGTTGCTCTCAAAATTTGCCCCCTGGTCCGAATGAATTCTTTGTGGTATTCCATAATTTACAATAAAGTAGTTAAACAAAATTTTGCAGTAGTTTTTGCTGTTTGGTTTCTTGTCGGTATTGCCTGTGCATATCTGGTGAAGTGATCGTTTATAACCAAAATATTTTCATAGCCTCCCTTAAATTTTTCTAATGAAAGAAAGTGAATACAAACAAGTTCTAGAGGTTGAGTTGTCTGAATGTTCACTAATGGTGCAATACTGGGTTCCTTTTTCTTCTTGATACACTTTTGACAGTGGCTAATCAGTTGTCGATATCAGTTGACATTCCTGGCCAATAGAATCTGTCACGAATAAGGTTAGTAGTTCTGTCTCGTCCCTGATGGCCCATTTCATCATTTAATGATTCTAGTACATTGACGATATGAAGTGATGGCAATACAAGCTGTTTCCTTTCTTTATCATGTACTGTTGTTTTTCTATACAATGTATCATTTTCTATAATTAGCTGGTCAAAAAGTTTGAAAAATGGACTGTTTGGCATTTGTCCTTAATTTGGCTTCGTTTTTCTTACATGCTCATTCCAAGCTTTCAGAACTGGATCCTGGTTCTGTATCTCTGAGCAATTGACATCATGTTTCATATTCATCTGAAGATCTATCTCAGCTGGATATAAAGTATTCTGCTCACAGGAGACGGTTTCTATATAAGGGATAGATATTCTGTTGCATATAGACTTGATAGAGTCTGCTGATATGTGAGTACAATCTCTTGGTAATCTTGATAAACTGTCAGCATCCACATTACTCTTTCCTGGCCTATATATGATTTCAAAGTTGTAGACTCCAAGCGCAGCAAGCCACCTGTGTTCTGTAGCGTCTAAATTGGCGGTGGTTAACACGTAAGTGAACAGGTTATTATCTGTAACTACTGTAAAGGTGTTCCTGTAGAGATAATCATAAAATTTATCGCATAAAGCCCATTTTAACGCTAAGAATTCTAACTTATGTGCGGGATAGTGTGTTTCAGATTTGGATAAACTGCGGCTGGCATATGCAATTACCCTCTTTATCCCACTCTGCTCTTGCTGTAAGATGGCTCCAAGTCCTGAGCTGCTAGCATCAGTGTGAATTTCAAATGGTTTATCATGGTCTGGATAACTCAAAATCGGTGATGTTGAAAGTTTCTTTTTTAAAGTCTCAAAAGCTGCTTCTTGTTCCCTTCCCCAAATCCATTCCTTCTGCTTTACTGGTTTTTTTTGTTTCTTCTTATTGTAAATTGGTATAAGTTCTGTGAGAGGTTTTGAAATTTGGCTAAAATGTTGAATAAATCTCCTGTAATTACCAGCAAACCCAATGAACTTTCTTACTTCCTCAGGATTGATTGGAGTTGCCCAGTTGATAATTTTAACAATTTTCTCTGGAACAGTTTCTACACCTTCTGATGAGATAATGTGTCCTACATATTTTACTTTGGCCTTAAAAAATGAGCATTTCTTGGGTGATAGATTCATATTGGCCCCTCTGATCTTGCCAAATACTTGTTTCAGTCTAGTAAGATGTTCTTCAAATGTTGACGAAAAGATGATAATGTCATTTATGAATATACAACAGATTTTCATATGCAATTCTCCCAAAATGTCCTGCATCAGTCTCTGATAAGTAGCTGGAGCACCAGTAAGACCAAATGGCTTCCTATTAAATTCATACAGTCAAAGTGGACCAACAGTAAATGCTGTTCTTTCTTTGTGGGGTTCAAATATTTCGACTTGATGGTAACCCGATTTCATATCAATCACTGAAAAGTATTTGTTGCCTGCCATGGAATCCAAAAGTTCTTCAATAGGAGGTAGTGCATATGCATCTTTCTTTGTTCTCTTGTTTAACTGTCGAAAATCAATGCAAAAACGAAGAGGGTTGTCTTTCTTTTTGACTAATACAATGTTGGAAGACCAAGGAGAATGAGATTTTTTAATGATGCCTGATTATATTGTAGTAATAATTTCAGATGCTGTCTAACTTCGCCTATCATTGATGGTGGAATTCTTCGATAACGTTGCTTGAATGGATATTCATCTTCTAACTCAATCCTGTATTGCATTGTTCTTATATATCCATCATCAGTATCCCCCGTTGAGAATATATCTGCATAGTTGTATATCAGATTTCTTCCTTGCACAAGTTCTTCCTTTCTCAAAATTGTCTCATCTATGGTGATTTTATCCATTTGTTGCAGTGGTTCGATGGCATTAGCATGGATAGCGTTCTGTACAATCGATACAGGTTGTATTTCACAGATAATAGCCTTCTCTGGTATTGACACAGTTCTCGTTGTGATGTTGCTGATTTCTACTGTCACCAAATCGTTGTCCATGTATCTGTACTCCATAAGAGATGGTACAATGTCTAAATCATCAGGTACAACCGATCTTTCTGTTCTCAGTAACATAGCTGCTGTATGGTGGTACGGAATTTTTTTGTCTAAATATCCTTTCAAAGTTACATTACTGTTCGGCAGAATAACAATTCTACCTTGTGCATTTCTTACAATGGCTAACTTTGAATTCCTCTTCAATTCTTTTTCTCTCAAGAGTATAGATCTGAATGTAAGGTACCCTTCTGTTGTTAAGTTCGCTTTCTATAAATATTTTTCAACATCTTGTTGTTGAAGTATTTCCATAATAATATCCAAGATATTTGCTCCAAGCAGTAGATGTACACAGTTGTTATAATTACTATCTGGAATAACTAATAAAATGGCATTATATTTTCCGATATGTTTGATTTTCTGCATTTCCAATTCGACGTCAATGAATCCTTCATATGGTAATGATTTTCCATCTGCACATTCAATGTCTAGTAATAACTATAATTTCTGGATAGGAATGTTGCTCAAATGTTCATCATAAAATTTTCTGCTAATAGTTGAGACGGTGGATCCTGTGTCTAGCAATGTCCGAGTTTTTATTTTGTTGAAAGTGATGTTTGTTTCTGAATGATTGCCGCATATTACAGCGCAGGGGGAATAAGGAAGCATACAAAATATTCTACCTTGGCTAAATCAGTGCTGCATTATGACGTCATAGTGGGCAAGATGACGTCAATTTTAGAAATCAGGTTTTCGTAATATTGGTGTCTAGCGATGTAATTTAACTCTAGAAAATGCTTAGAAACGTTTAAACATAAACAAAAATAAAATAGTGTTATTTTGTTATGCTGTAACAGTCATAATGATTGTAATCTACCACCAATGACGTCATATGTGTACATCAAGTAACTACTTCAAAGATATGTAAAATGGAGTTTAAAAGGAAATATCGGAAATATTGTGTTTAATTCATATGGAGTTCAATTAATTAAAAAGGTATGCTAATTTATATTCATCGATTATATTCTCTTTCAAAGACAGTCAGCTATATTACGTATCTGATCGGCCTATCATCTGTCATTCTTGACCAAAAATTGCAACAGAACAACAATAAGCTGAATATTTCAAAACATATGATTTGTACAGATTGAAAGTTTGCCTTTTGACAAACTTGGAAAGTGCTGCTAGAATCCCAAGTAAAGCATGGTTGTACGAAAAATCTCGATTCATATGTATAAAATTCAAAACAATGGGTAAGGTTTCGTGCGAATGTGTGGAATAAATATTTTACGGACAAGATTGTTGGATTCTAGCAGCACTTTTTAGACAAAATAGATGTTTTTCAGCTATATTACATACTCAGAGAAATTATAAATTTCCGGGTTATTGTTGTTCTGTAAGCCTTTTTATTAAGGGGTATTTTGCTATTAATAGAAGTCACAAGATGCCGTGGCGGCGATGCATGTCTCTGCGTTAGACATGCTTTCTTCTGTATGCAATAGTAAATAACAGTTTACGTTTATCAGTGGTTTTGGTAATTTATTAAACTAAATTTTCTTCAAAAAGTCTAAATTTCCCGAGAAATTACTTATATGCTTCCTTAACATACCCGCGAGGTGGTAAATATTTTGCCATTTTTGCAAGCAAAGGGTCCTTAGGTTCCTTGTCTACGGTCGACCCTATCGCGCAGACATTTTCTAGTTTAAATTCTTTCCGTGGACATCTGTGTTGGCACGACACCCTCTCTCAATGTGTCCTTCTCTTCCACAACGTTTGCAAGTAATGTTGGGAAAAGTCACATGTTCCTTACTACTCTGTTTTGTTTGAGTCAAGTCATTCCTAAATCCTCTACCTTTGTAGCTCTGAGCTCGATACCGTGATCCTCTGAATGGTGGTCTAAATCTGGATCGTCCTCTCTGTGCTGTTTCAAGATTTTCTATTCTATGGGTTATTTCCTTTAACATTCCTTTCATCTCATCTTCTGCTGGTTTTTCTTAAAAAATGGCCTTCTTTGATAGTTGTTTAGAAATTTTCCCTTCATGGTCTTGTTGATTTTCTTTCTCAATTTTCCTTAAAGCTATTCGGAGTGAATCAAATGAATGATATTTCTCTCGTTCGTAGTGTGTAATGTCTTTCAAATCTGATCTCAAGCCTATCCACAGCATATCATGCAACATTTTATCAGCACTACTTTCCAGAATTTTACCTGTCATTATCGCTTTTCCCAGAATATCTTCCATTCTGCAGCTCCATTCAGTTATGTTCTCAGTCTGTTTCTGCCTTGCACCATAGAATTCACTAAGGATTGATTCTTTCTCATCTACGTCACCATAAACACTTGTAAGTTTGTCCAATTTTTCTGTAATCTTTGCTTTAGGTCAAAGTCTAATTACTGTCCTTCCTGCTTCGCCCTTCAAAGACTTCCTTATTGCTTGAGCAATTACTTCTGGAGAATGTGTTTTCTCAGTCATTAGACATTTCACTTCGTATAGCCAAAGATCAAATGTAGTGACATTCTTTCCTGTTGA